CTTCGAATTTTTTTTTAACTGCAGCTATATTTTTGAAAGTGTAAATTATTACTTGACAATTCTATTTTCATGGAAAATGGACCTTTTAGACTATATTTGAGCTCTTTCTGAAGAAATTTATTCCTACTTAGTTATTAAAAAGTGCTATGAAAGCCATGATTTGTCAGTATCTAAAGCAAAGATAGATATGATTGTCAATAAGAAAGGAAGAAAATTTGAAAGTTTGTATTCAAGGTGGAAAAAAAGTTGTTGAAATACAAATGCTATGAAGAAACGAAATATTTTCAAAGTTAAGAACTTTAATGTTATAAGTATTTCTCCCGCCTTCTTGGCATGCCTTCGTGGTGTGGTGGTCTGCACGCTCAGCGCGTAATTGAGAGGTCAGTAGATCGATTCCCGGCGAAGGTGTTGTATATTTTTCATCTTGCCTGCTTTCAAAAAATATCAAATGTATCTACAATGTTAAAAGAAAATCTTCGAGGTCAAAGCAGACAGTTGTATAATCATTAAAATGGTCAGTGTCAATTATAAACAAAGTTGTTAATGCTGATTTGAATTTTAAAAAGGAGAAAAATTAATATGCATCGTCTTTCTCCATGACATATCGCCGAAAGCAGAATGCGCTCCAGAATTCTCTATGAGAAACAAGTACAGACGGTATGAAAAAATTCCTGTCAAATCCATTTTAAATTTATTTCACAATCCGTTTTGGAAGAAAAAGAGTTCTTTATTCTGTCTATATGTACAGATGTCATGTAAAAAAATCGTCCAGATGGATTCGACAGCTGTCAAAATGGACATTTTCGTTGAAATGCAATACCTTAAATTTTTCACGGTTACAATATTCCCTTTACTTAGCACAAGGAATGAAAAAGGTTTTGTGCCTTTTCATTCTTGAAAACACTGTTTAATTGTCTGTCGAATCACTAATCAACTAATAAAAAATTACTGAAATTTAAAAATTCGTTGTGAGCTCCTAACAGCGGAACTTTGCTGATTGAAGCTTCACAAAGAGTTAGTAATAATGAGCGTGGAAGACCAATTTATCCAAAGAAAATGGCAACACTTATCAAGTCATATGCCATATGATAACTCAGACGGCATGAAAGCTGACCATTTTCCCGCGTGCTCTTCTGTTTAGTTTGGATCTTTAATATTTAAAAAATTATATTTTAATAAGCAATATAATTAATATCTTTCAAACAGTATCACTTTTTCGTGTTTCGTTCAATAGATAAAAATAACAAGGCTTTATTATAGATGCGTGTACTCAGTTTCTAAATTTCTTCGAATCCAAAATCTAAATCTGAAAGGTTTTTGAATCTCTTAAGTCATTTATTTAAGAAATACGATTTTTCTTAATACTAAAAATTATTAATTGAACTGGAACTTGAAATCTGCGTTTAATGATAAGGGAATTTAAATAGTATACAGTTTTTAACAATCGTAATGCTCTATTTCTGACTACGGATTTTTTCTGAAAGTACGAGTATAATTTTAAAAATATGTCACTTCAGGGATTTTCTTCCCTCCTGCTTGTCTGGAATAAGAGCATCAGAAAACGTAACATTTCAACCCTTTTTTTCTACTTTCCTTCCTTCATTACAGCTAGTTATAGGTTCATTGCAGTGACAGAGATATTTTGGGAGGAGGAGTGGATGTTTAAGTAAAGAAGCTCGGCGAAATGCTAACACATGCTTTGTCACGTATTAGTATTTCATAAAATAATTTGTTCGTGTTCACTTTCTCAGTTATCCACGTTACTGACATTATCGTTTATCTAAACAGGTCTGGACATGAAGGCAGAACGCCACTGTTATGCTACTTCACACATATTTCATAATCATATACCACCGCGTTTCGGTTCTAGCAGTGATCTTGAAAAGCTGAAATGGAAACCCTTCTTTCCTACTCTATAATAACAAACTGAAATGGGACAGCTTTCAAAAGAGCCTTATCTGGGAAATCCTGAAGTGGTGTATAACCTTCAGGGTATATCCGCATTCATTAAGAAGTTCCGTATTAAATTTACGAAATGAAGTATATAATTTGAACTCTTGGATTTTTAAGTTCACTTTGACAAAAACAATCTGGCAAAAACTGACAATCGGGCAAAACTGTTAATCTGACAAAAACAATGTGGATAATAATCCAAATTGTTTAGCCTGACTCTATTAAAATCAAAACAAATGTCATGGCAGAGAGATTGTTCAACTGAGATCATAGGTTAAAACTAAGCACGAAACCCCTAAAATCTCTTCAGAAAATTAAGAGTATGACATTCAAAACAAATAATACAGTTGATCCAGTTCGTTGAAACAACAACATTTCATGCTGTTTTTTTAACGAACGTTTCGACTGAATGTCACCAAAGAAATATTTTCAAAGTTTAAATGTTGAATGAAGTTTTATAAGGCGATTCAAAAAATTCCAATGATAAAAACTGCACGAAAATTTGGATTCGAGGATTATAAGATCATTATAGTCATAGCTATAACATATACTGGAAAAATAAAAGTAAAGAAACATAAAGTTATAAGGTATTTCTCCCGACTTCTTAACCTGCCTTCGTGATGTAGTGGTCAGCACGATCGGCGCGTATTCGAGAGGTCCGTGGTTCGAGTCCCGGCGAGGGCATTGCTCATTTTTCATCTCTCCTGCTCCAAAATAACCTAATGTCTCTACAAAGTACTCGCAGCAGCCATTAGATACCTCCGAAATTGAAAGAAAGTTAGTTAAAGAAAACTTTAATTAACATTTAGCTAAAAAAATTAAAATAATTAGTTAACTTTAATTAACATTTAGCTAAAAAATTAAAATAATTAGTTAACTTTAATTAACATTTAGCTTAAAAATTAAATAATTAGTTAACTTTAATTAACATTTAGCTTAAAAAATTAAAATAATTAGTTAACTTTAATTAACATTTAGCTTAAAAAATTAAAAATAATTAGTTAACTTTAATTAACATTTAGCTAAAAAATTAAAATAATTAGTTAACTTTAACTAACATTAGCTAAAAAATTAAAATAATTAGTTAACTTTAATTAACATTTAGCTAAAAAATTAAAATAATAACTTAATTAACATTTAGCTTAAAAAATTAAAATAATTAGTACTTTAATTAACATTAGCTAAAAATTAACATATTAGTTACTTTAACTAAATTTAAAAAAATTAAAATAATTAGTTAACTTTAATTAACATTTAGCTAAAGAAAACATTATTCAAATAAATTCTCTATACTATATCTGGCCTTTTTATTTAATCAACACTTACCTGCATTACAGCTTTTTATTAGGTTAATATCTAAACCAGTGCATTTGTTAACATATTAGCCTAAATATTGCATGATCTGACCTGTGGATGACCTTGCACTTGTTTTAGACGTTTCAGACATTGAAAAAGGACTTGAAAAACAGCTTCGCGTGCATATGCTTAATATGTTGAAAGCATTCTACATAAAATTATAATTAAACGAATGCCGCATTACTTCCATCCTAATACTAATTCTAGTACTATCATTTTATGTCATTAAAGGCATCGCTAAAATGGAGCACATCTTGCAAGCGATAACTTTATAGAATCACAGATTATTCTGAATTCCCAATAATTTTGAGTTAAATTTTCTTAAGTTAATAAAAATGGATATATAAATTGTTAATAAATTGAAGTTGATCACTAAAAATGCTTCTTAAATGTATTTTAGCAGTTTATTTTATTTGCTTCGAAATAATATCTGTTATACCAGTTGTACACGCCTGGTTCTGTCAATGCAAACAGTTTTAATAAAGGGCTTATGATGGTCGTCGCAGGATTCTCTTACTGTGAGAAATTAAAAATAAGAAGAGTGGGAAAAAAGTGTTAAACTGAACTCAGCGTACTACCAAGAGAAAGTTTTAAGGGCGCCCAAACTAAAAAGGTATATGATGATTCTTCACCACCAGAATTTGTCGAATGGGTCCCCTAATACTCAGTCGCCTTTTAAAAGAGGGAGTATATACGGTGTTTTCAGCCTCTTTACTGGATGCCTTCGCGGTGTCGAAGTGTAACGGTAGCACATTCGGCGCATTTCGAGAGGTCTAGTTCGAGTTCCGGCGAGGGCATTGTTCATTTTTTACTTCTTCAGCGTCAAAATGATCTAATGTCTGTACTAGGAATGCTTCGAAAAGTACCACTGCATTCCTTGAAAAAATGAAGAGTGCTACAGGTATTGCATATATATCTTTTCCAAGTATTCCTGGTCCCCTGACGTTTCATCTACGGACTATTGTGCTTCTAATCTCTTGAAAAGAGCTCTTTCTAAGTGCAAACTCACAAAGATTGATGGATTCTGTAAAGTAGTGGAAGAGGAATTGATGGATTTTCTAAAATATTGGAAGAGGAATGGAAATGAATACCTCTGTTAATTTTATTAAAACCTCTACATTCCTTGAAACCACCGCATTCATAAAGGAAGATTGTTTCAGGTATTGCCTGAAATCTTTTCCACGTATTCCTGCAAAGTCCCTTGATGTTTCCACTGTGGACTATTGTGCCTTTAATTTCTTGAAATGAGCTCACTCTTTCTAAGCGCAAACCCACCACGATTGATGGACTATGGAAAGTTTAGCTCTGGAAAGTTTATAAAATCTCCTTCTATCATTTGAAATCACGATACAGAGTTATAATCCATAGAAAAGATTATCAGATCGAACTTTAGAAAACATACTGTTTACATTTTAAACATTAATTAAACGGCCTCTTAATCGTTCTAAATGTGTTCAAACACCGCCTGTATATCTCCCTGCAATAAAATCCAAGTTTATATTTTTTAAAGTAAATATCATGCACACGATTGAGTATTATGTTTTATTAGAGCATTCATGTTTTTTTTAAACTCAGATGTGAAACCATGTCAGTTTGCAGTTAAGCTAGAATGCAATTACATTTTTTTAAATTTTCTACTACTGAGTAAATCTTAAAAGTCATATTCATTCATATATCAATCTTTCTTAAAGGTGCCTGAAGGATTTCATTTTCTCGAGTTGTACGAGCCTCCTGAGTATACTCACTGGTGCCACGGCGTGCCACCTCCTGCATTATCCTCTGGCACCAAATTCGGAGGTGATAAAGCAGATATGTGGCAGTTCGGTATTCTCTCCGTTGACCTGCTTACAAATCTCAAACTCAGCAGCTCAAAGAGTTCCTACTTTTCAATGTGGCACCACGACGTTTGGCCTTTCATTGAAAAGATTCTGTTACACAAGGAATACCTTGACTATCTGCTGGAAGACAGCTTTCAGAATGTTATATTTTCCGCTGAGGACTTCGAACTGTGCCATGACTTCATTAATAAGATCCTGTGTATGAATCCCGATTCGCGCATCAGCGCTCGTGAAGCCATGAGCCACGAATTTGTGAACGTCCCATGGCCTCAACTACCTGCTGCTTTCAGTTTGCCGACACTCGTTATTGGTAAGTTAATATGGTTAATAATTCAGCTAGCTGATACTCGTTGTTGGTAAGTTAAGCACGTTGTCTCTGAGTTAGTAAAGCTAATGATGTCATTAAAATGCCTAACACAAAGACTTTGTTACTAATTATCTGTGCAATGTCTTTTTCAAAATAAAAGGAATTGTTTAATTAAGAGAATTATAACTGCATGAAAGAACTACAAATGATTCTGTAGAGTTGTACGCATATTTTCGGAAAGAATTATTACGGATGAACACTACTAACGGAGTCTACAGGCTTACACAGCCGACCTCCTAAATTAGTTGTTATGAAAAAGAACGCTTATAGAATGATTTTAATGAGTTCAGCTAGTGTAATTTCAGTGTTTCAGCTAATAATTAGTGATAATAAAGATTACCTCCGTTTATTGCTTTTAAATCACTTAATTTGTTAATCAATCACATAGATTATATCTGAAAGTAAAAAAGTAAACGTCTTAAGCTTTGCCGAATGCAACCTGCTGGAAAGTGAAAAATAACTACATTTTAATTCAGGGAGTATCAATACTTTTCTTTTAAATCAATGAGTTTGTTGATTAAAATTGAAGACAAAAATTTATTTTAAATTTTCCAAGTGGCAACACATTTCCTTGAAATCGCTCAGTTTTTTGATTAAATTTTAAACCCAAGTATCTCACGCTTTGACGAGTGATAACACATTCCTTAAATCATTGAGTTGATTAATTTAAACTTCAGAAATTTGGCTCAAAACCTAAAATAAATAAATTTAAAATTCGTGCTTCGAGGTACACATTGTCGGGTGGAGGAATATGTGTTCAAAATCTGGTGGTGTGGCCATTTTTCCGTAAGGCGAGGAACATGCATACAAACATCTTTTTTAATTCCTCCAAGCGTCATGGACGCAAAATTCCATATCGAAGGATGGCTTACCCATTCGGAGCCAAGCAAGTAACGCTGGGGTACGGGGTTGATTAAACTGATCGACTATTAACAATTATCTAGTCATTGTTAATGAAGTAGCATTCTCTAGGAAAGTGGTTCTGCAAGTGAGAAAATCAGAGGAAGAGCATCCAACTGCAGATTCAGACATATCAATATAATCTTCTCAAAAACAAGTACAAAGTTACCACGTTCAACATCAGAAAAGAGAAACAGATGCAGATTTTAAAGTTTTCAGTCAACTCTTATAATTCATTTATCTATAAATTTTGTGAATTTTGTAAATTCATAATTCCAATTTAATTCCATTTATAATAAATGTTACTCATATGTACATGCTCAATTTATTATAAAACATAAAACGATTTATGTGCTTTTATATGAATAATTAACTCACCAAACAACCTACTTCCTATAAAATGATTCACAGACCTATTTAATAAAACTGCTGCTATATATTAAGTATATACTTTAAAATAAGTTCGTAAGTGTATCAGTATAAAGATTGATGCTGTAGCAAAGAAGTATTTTAACTTTGTTCAGGAAGTTGCTATTTAATTTAAACTTTAGTAATTTGAAATCATTGCGTAATTTTTAAGGTGAGCGTGCATAAAATTGGTGACTTCATTCATATTAAAAAAGAGTGCGCTTAATTCAGTTGGAATATCATACAAGTTCATCGACTTTTAGAAACTAATTAATAGCCATATCTCGCTATGAAATTTGTTGTTTATTACATAATATAGAGGCTTTTTTATTTCTTATTTTTATAACTAATACTATGTGATCCTTATCTCACATAAAATAATAGTGTTGTGATACAAACAATTATTAAGAAATCGTTTTCTGGAATTTATTTGCCGTTGATATTTGTCAGTGAATCATATGTTGACTTAAAAGTCTATTACCAGTTTACACTGTAACAGCTTGTAGCGATTAAGATTTAAGACATCCTAATAGTTTAAAGGTATTTTATTTCTACAAGAATCTGTTATGCGTCTTTTGCGCATGTATTTGTCTTAAGGGTGAAGTGCCAAAATCTTTGAAGGTTTTTCGTGTAAAAAAACGCTCAGGTTAATAGAGATACAGCAATAATGTCATCCTTTTAATCTCATTCATTACCACGATTGATTAGTTCGCCCTGCATTTGCTAATGCTCTTGGAACGAATTTTAATACCTTGAAATTCGGCTCTCTATATAATCTCCCTCAAATCATGTTAATTGTTGTTTTGCTGTGCTTCAGTAATGTGGACACTCACATACGCTTTATTATACAAAATAGTGTGACTGTGGATAAGGTATGTCAGACTATCATCACGATTGCAGCCCTGGGACAGGACATCTGCCAGGTCATATAAGACTTTCTGTCGCTGAGCTGCCCCGACTTTATTCAACAAAACAGCATATTTTCTTCAACGCAGAGCTGCAGCGCATTCCGTGCGCAATCTGATCACTTAGCGCAACATAGCATGATACATAGATATATGAAATGCAGCGCAATCTGATCACTTAGCGCAACATAGTTTGATGCATAGATATATGAAGTGCAGCATAGTATGATGCATAGATACTATATGAAATGCAACATAGTATGATGCATAGATATATGAAATGCAGCCATTCCGTGCGCAATCTGATCACTTAGCGCAACATAGTATGATGCATAGGTATATGAAATGCAGCGCATTCCGTGCGCAATCTGATCACTTAGCGCAACATAGTATGATGCATAGATATATGAAGTGCAGCATAGTATGATGCATAGATACTACATGAAATGCAACATAGTATGATGCATAGATATTATGAAATGCAGAGCATTCCGTGCGCAATCTGATTACTTAGCGCAACATAGTAGGATGCATAGATATATGAAGTGCAGCATAGTATGATGCATAGATATATGAAATGCAGCGCATTCCGTGCGCAATCTGATCACTTAGCGCAACATAGTATGATCGTGCGAATCAAAATGTACGACGAACCACGAGCTTAAACATATTCATTGAATTCGTATTCTTCTAAACTCTCGAAAGGTACTCTCATGAGTTCCAGGGAGTTGTTGCTTGCAGCCAGAGGAGTGCTTGGATGTATACCTGCTTACCTCTGTTAGAGGCCAGCTCACCCCGCTCCCCCATCACCAGTCTACTAAATGTAATTCTATACTGCACTACATTTTCATTGCACTAGTTATTTAACATTGTTGCGTGCGAGCGGTTTCGTAAGAGATTAAATGCACCAGGTCCGATGCTAGGTTAATAAAAATTTATTTTATCAAAATAAACGCTTCAAAGTTCTGGAATTTTGCTCAGAAATACTAATAGAGGTGTTACAATATCACACAGTTTGCTGAACTCGCAACAATAACAACAGCAACTAACTGTTTGACTAAACAACTGACAGCAAATGCTTTCTTTCTTCAGCCTTAAAATGTTTTCAACCGACCGCAAGATATTTCTAGTACTTTCTGCTTCTCGAAATTGCTGGAAAGCAATACGAGGGGGGAATTACGGTTACAGCTAACATAGTGGTCAAATACATTTATTCAATTTCAGTACATGTTACGGTGATACAGAAACCGGACCAAAAGGTCGCCAATTTTCGGTAAATTTCAGCGATTTCTCGCGAAATTACAAGACGCCCATTTACTCAGTGTTAAATGCCCTTGCCCCTGTATTCTAATTTTTCCGGCAAAGCACTCTCTTAAAATTTGTCTCGCGCTACATTACACAGAAAAATACGCCAATTTTACTTATAATTCTACTAAAATTACTTATCTAAGTATAAAATTGCTAACAATATTTTAGTACTTTTTCATTGTTTTATTACATATTTACTTACTTATGTACTTTTATATTGCACTACTTCTTTACTGTATAACTTTTACGCTTTTTATATTCTAGCATTGCAATATGTTTCTTGCACCCATTGTGTCCAAATCCGTAGCCATTGTTCAGCTACCTATCCTCTGTAAAGCCATGTTCCCACCTCCTCTTTCTGCAATAAGCACTGTATAGTACAGGACGAGGGGCTTACCTCTAGTAGATGCCAGGTGTTCTTATTCTCCGTCACCTGTTGTTTTGCTGTCTAACAGCTAACTCCCATTTAGGATATTTACGATGCTTATGCCGTCGTGTGAATGCCATCTTAAAAGCTTTATAAATGATTAAGAAAACATGCTCCTGTTGAATTGCTCACTTACAAAACTTTGCACAAAGTGCAACATTACAGGCAGGAGCATCCCTGTAATGCTAAACTTAACGCGCTATTTAAAGAGCAATTCAAAACTGCAAAGCCAATCGTAGTAAAAAAAATTGTAATAACATTATTCCATTGCACATAAACGTCATGTGAAGGTTTTTGCACTTTTGTAATAAAGGCCTCTCGAATCATAGCCAGTAAACACTGCGAGAAAAAGCTGTGGTTCAAGTAAGGCTAGATACCGGGCGAAAACACACATTATAGTTTGAAAAAACGACCCGCCAAGAAGGAGTTGTCCGAATGAGAGCAATTACAGGAAACCCACAGATACATAACAGAAAAGCAAAGATCTTTCCTATTTTCTAACACTGCTTAAACCGTTATTTATGTATCGCCTAATAACAGAAATACATATGTAATTTTGTCTGGGCTATTATAAACTCAACTGCATTTCAAAAGAATACATATTCTTTTTTTTTTTTTTTTTTTTTTTTTTGTTTGTTTGTTTATCTCAGAGCATGTACGCACACCTAGACTTTCGATAATTGAGGAAATGAAAGAGGAGAAAAAACTTCCAGATCCCGCTGCAATGTCATCTCAAGAACTCGAAGAGGTCATGATGGAACCTCAGGAGGAAGACGACTTACAGGCCGTGTCATCCATAGGTAAATATTTCATTCTCTAAATAGATATATGCTGAGCAAAAAACACAGAAATCTTCACTTGGAAAATAAAAAACTTAATTTCGTGACCTTTGAGAGTTATTCTCGACCTTTAGGGAAATAATCGTTAATTAGGAAAATGTTATTTATTTTACAGGAATGCTAACAAAAGTATATCAGGAATCTAAATTCGAAACTATCAAGCAAACGAAACACGAGGAAAAAAACTGCCATTTGTAACTTTAAATGGCAATTTAATACCGCAGAGAATTTCCTTTTAATGTTTCAAAAAGGTAAAAAGTAATTTAAAAATTTTAAAAGTGGTAAGATAAAAACCAAATTGCAATCTGAGCTTAGTATGCAGATTATAAACACCTGAGACAATGGTTAACTAATGGACTAAGCAACTACAACAGACGTACTCCTTTAAAAATATGTCCCTCAGAAACTAAAAATATAGAGCATAAAATCTTATATTTAAAGAGCTATTCAAAACTGTAAAGCCAATCGTAGAAAAAAAATTTAATAATATTATTCCATTGCACATAAACGCCATGTGGAGACATTTGCACTTTTATAATAATGGCCTCTCGAATCATAGCCAGGAAACACTGCTAGAAAAATCTGCGATTCAGGTAAGGCTAGATGCTGGGCCAAAACACACACCGTAGCCCGAAAAGCGACCCGTCAAGAAAGAGTTATCCGAATGGGACCAACATCGGTAGATTTATTGAAAACGAACGTTTCGTTCAAGAAATATAGCTACAAGAGAAAAAAAAAATCAACAATGCGTTGGCTCACCCTGCTTGCAAACTGTTTCCAGCTGAACAATGACTCGTAGAGTTAGCGGATTTTCTCCTACGAGATACCATGCCATACACTTTCTGACTGGCAAGTTAGATTGACGCGATCCAGAGACAGTTAGAGACACCTGCTCATGAGAGCCCAAAAGTGTTGTTTTATTGGGGAGAGATCTGATGATCGCACAGGCCAGGGCAGTGTCGGAGAAGAACAAAGATAGGTAGTAGAAAGGCATGCCGGGCATTTTCGTAATATAAGTCCAGGGATCTGGTCAAAGGATAGGTAACACTATAGGGCGTAAAATCTTGGTATCACAGATGTCAGCTAAAGGTTCGGCTATTAAATGAAACGGCAACCCATCATCATCATAAGGGCACAGTCCCAATCCTCCTAGCCAATACAAGCCACATCAAAAAGTGGCACTGGCCAGAAAAAACCTATAAAGTCCAAATCTGAGTTTCAATGCCGAATTCCAATTTTATCTATAATTCCGATTCTATCTATAACTATAATGCCGATATAACTGATTCTATCTATAATGCCGAATTCCAATTCTATCTAGTATAACTCTATTCGTATTTCTAATCTTCCTTATTGTATCTGCAAAACCTTTCAAATTTGAATAGTTTCTATTAAAAATCATCCTTAACATTCTTTCTGTATTTCTCTCTTGCACTCCGGGTAAGCGTACATTCATCGACGAAATGACTGGCGTCCCCAAATTTATCGCATATTAAGCATTTACCATTATTCTGTAGATGGAACCGATTAAAATAAGCAGTTGATCTTAATTAACAGGAATTAACAGGTCAAGTAATGTTGAATGTAAATGTAATTAAACTACCCTAAAAGCTAACAGAGTAATTTAAATGCGCAGGAAGGCTCTGACTCGTAGAAGGTGGCGGAAACAAGCTTAATGGCTAGAAGCATTCAACACCACAGAAGCAGATCGCTATTAAGGTAGCAAAGTAGCCTTTGAGCAGGCATAACACCCACTAAAATCAATTTCCGAAACATTGACTTAAATAGCACACTTTTCTCTCTTAGTCTGAATAAATGTGCGCTATCTAATTTACATTTTGGTAAGAAAGTGTGGGTGAAAAGGAAAGCGATAGGAAACTCGTTTTAACTCAAAATTAACTATTAATCAAAAAAAAATAATAATAAATTCTCACAAGGTACAGCAATGGTAATAACGTGAACGCTTTCATAAGCTGGACTATATTATTAGGTTTACATCCGCGTCCATTAAACTTCATTCCGGTTATATAACTTTTATACTCTTTGCAGAACATGCTCTGGAGGCACACGTATCCAAATTATCTGTTAGTGTCCAAATCATTAATATGAACTCTTTTTAATTCAAATAGATTTACGAAATGAGCGGAAGTAATATGTAATTCAAATAATACCCTTAATTTTATTTAACAATTTTATTTAGCTTAAAAAAACTTATCTCACATTCTTTTCTATATGATAGAATCCAGCCTAGCACCTTTTATAGATTTACTTTTGGTAATGCGTAGCTTTTTTTATAATGTAGTGTGTAATTTATTGCTTTTAGTTAGTTATTTATCTTTTACGTGGAGGCACTGAAGTTGGTTGTTGTTTTAATAATTTTTTCCCTGCCATTTTATATTACTTTCGAAATAAAAAATAATGTTTGACTGGCGCCATGTCAGAAATAAATAAATAACTAAAAGCGGTAGGTCACGTACTACATGATTACTAAATTTTCTAACACGTTGTGATATTCCCACTAGGTTCTGGTTTCCTTAGTTCTGCTCAAATTAAATTTAAATTTACTGCGGGTATATTAAACTTTTACAATTTGATGTCTTATCTCTTCAACTCTGAACTACTCAAAGTAGGCGACAGCTGACAGGGGATCCGAACACCCGGACGGCTTACATAGACTGATAATCAGGTATTCTTCTGATCGGGCAACTGTTTAGTACAACAGCTCCCATCGCCCCACAAGGTGGAAGGGAGGTCGCTAATAAACCCATCGGGAGTTTATTTAAATGCTACATATGCTGATATAGACACTATACGTTTTACATATTGCTACACAGATACTGAATACGAATGCAGGTATTAAGCAGATACACAGATACTAAATATAAATGCAGAACGTTACACAAATACGCAGCTATTAAACATACACTACTATATATTAAACGGATACTAAATATGAATGCACATTAAACAGATACACTGATACTAAATATTAATGCAAGACATTACACAAATGCGCAGCTATTAAACATACACTTCTACATACTAAATATGAATGCAGACAATTACGCAGATAATTACTCAAAGCAGATAAGTCACTCATAGACAAATGTTTCAAAGAGTTAGCAAGCAAAAACAACAAAATTTCTACGTGCTCATTTAAAAATCAGGGCTAGCGCTAATTTTATAAAAATTTGTCTTTCCGAAATTCTGCTGCTTGGTTTTATCCTAATTATTTTGCAATCTCATACCTTAAACATTTTGAAATCTCTGAATTCTGACGCCTGGCACGGCAGCACCATTTGCACCAGGTATGGCGTTCAGTGTTGCCAGATCGCGCGATTTTGTGAAATTTTTGCGACCTTCATCATTTTCTTATGCTACTTTTTGCGATTTCAAAGATATTTTTAATATCGTAAAATGCTTTGTAAAACACAGAATTATGTACCTTAATACTAATATTCATGATTTTAGTGCTCTACAAATTTTGTTTTTAAGATAGTCCAACCCCTCTCAGTTCTATGGTGATAACGAATCGAACAAAAGAACTTGCGTGCCATATATTGGGTACCCAAACAGAGAAAGAAATAAAATTCATCCTCCTGATTATAATAGTGCTAAGAACTAAGGAATAGAAATGACTTCAGAATTAAAGCAACCGCATTTTTCTAAATAACAAAACAAATAAATTTAAAGTAATCAGAATCTGAAATAAGTACACCTTCTAGAACGGAAAACTTACTAAAAGCATTCCTCAATTAAAATGTTCACAATTAAGCAAAATAAATAAATTAATTAATTAATTAACTGCTAACTCAAAAAACTTAGTACAAAAGCGTTAACAATCTAAACGTGAGGAATATCCTACAAATTAATTTAAAAACAGAAACACAAATTAAATGAGAATTAATTGCAAAAGAGATGGATATTTAAACAATTGAAAATGAGCAATAGTGTTTTAAAATTTTCGTTTAAGCTAAGATACGTAATTAAAAAGACTAAGGATCGAAATAACTATGACGTCACAAAAATCACGTGATCTCTGACGTCATTTGCGACTTTTTGTGAATTTTTTAGTCTTCTTTTGCTACTTTAGTTGAAAAATTTCTAGTAACACTACTGGCGTCTGTCGTGTATAAAATATATTTCAATATAAAGGTAACAGTGTTTTTCTACTTGATTACTGATATAGAATGAATCAAGCTTTTTAATAATAAGATGTCCGTGTTTATATAGCAACAAAAATATAATAATTAATTAACCAGTATTTTAAAGCTTTGAGCATAATTATTGTTTATACTTTAATAATGAGTAAAAACTGTAGAGGAGTCGAGCTGTTTTTCAGATTAATTTTCTGCTTCCGTGTTTCCCTAACAATAACAACATGGTAATCGGAAGTATGACGTCATAGCAATACTGCATCTCTTTGATAAAAGCCAATGACCGATTGAGCATTTAAACAACGAGAATCGAAGGAAGTTGCATTTGTTTTAATTCTTTACTATGGATCATGGGTAAACGTTTCCCCTCCCCAGTAAAGGTCTAGGTATTAGTTAATTTTAAACTTTTCAGACCAACAGTTAAAAATGAAGTCATTATATGTGCTTATAGTCATTATATTTGCTATAGAAATATGTGCTTATAAAGCAAGGGAAGAAAAACATTTTCAAAAATCTAATGCTCACACTATTCAAAATAGTTATGTTTTGTAAAACCAATAATAACAGTTATTCGTAGGAGTGGAAGACTAATTAAACAACTGTTTCTTTCATTTTTCTACTTTTTTTAAGAATACTCATTTAACTGTGTTACAAAATGTTATGTTCCTGTCTTCAAAACTGATTTCAAATATTTATCTGTTAATGCTGAGATTTTAGGCGTTTAATGTTCCGAAAATCGTTTTCGAAAATTATTTTTCTTGGCAACAGTTCAACCATTTTATTGAATCCTTCGCTCGGCATTTGTCTTTCAGCTTGTAATTACGTTCCAGATCAAAGAAATAGATTCAAAGCTTAGCTAAACTTTTTCAGCCTCACAACTAAACGAATCTTAAATCATAGAATTTGCTTTCCACGTGCACAGAGTCTGAAAATGTGGTTGGAAAAGTAATTTTAGTAAAAGCTGATGACAAGACATTGCGATTAGGCTACAGCTTAGACACACCAATGAGGAAAGGAGGAATTGTATTTTGAGATTTTTCCCGTTCTTTTTCAAATGGACACAAATATTGCTCCACAAATATCCTTCATATACGAAATAGCAGCATTTGCAAGTATTTTCACGTTCTACAATTGATAAATTAGCTTTCTGTCAGCCCTCAGTGGGGCTTTGTAACTTCAACAATTTTCATGTATTCCCGTTGGATGAAGCCAAGTTTTAAAACTGCAAAAGTTATTCCTTGCTAAAAGACCATTCAGAAACACTGGAAGAAGCAGATTTAGCCTCGCAGACAGTAATTTGCAGCTGCTTTTCGACTGCTGCTTTGTAAGATTTTTACACGAATAATATTCTCTTTTAAACTGCGAAGTTTATGTTAATATCGTAGAGAAATTTTATAGCTTTATTGGATTAAAATTATATATAATCTATTATCATAAAAATATAACATTTATTCACAGCTCAATATACAGAATTTATAATCATACAGCCTGTACCCGATACCTAATTAAAAGGCAGCTTTTACTCTTTCATGTATTTAGCATATGTAGACTACAAGCTGATCATAGTTGGAAAATTTAATTGAATATATACTTATGTAACTAAAATACTCTAAATGTATAGAAAAAAACTATAAACCTTTAAACTATAAAGGTAAGATTAACATGGAATCAGATTAAAGAGTTATACGTGTATATTTAATAGAAATGTAGAAATTTATAATTGATAAAATTGTACTTCTTTCAATGATTGATCCTTAATGACTTTCCAGATGCCATAGATATCCTCAAGAAGAAAATGAAGAAAATAAAAAGAGAGAAGATAGTCCGAAGAGAATCCATTGCAGAAGCAGGTAATTAAATTTTTTATATGTGTTTGCTGTTTCAATTTATCTTCATCCCAGTCATTTATAAATTTTCTTTCCTATCAAAGCGTTATTCTCATTTCTTAATAAGCAACTTCTTATCTATCGCAATGATTTTTAAAAACTCAGTTGAAGAATTATATATATAAATTTTATATATTGCATAAAATTAACTCTGTTTGATATATCCGAATAACTGCATAATAGTCCCAGAAATATTTCCTTCTTCCCGTCAGGCTGTGGCAACTTATACAACGAAGTATAATATGCACATATGCGTGCTTAGTGGTTCGCAACAGATCGACATTCGCAACAGATCCCCGGTAGGACGATACATTTACAAAATTTATTTTATCAAAAGCAACAATTCAGAGTTCTGGAATTTTCCACAGAAATACTCGTACGAGTGTTCACAATATCACAAAGTACAACCAGCAGTTACACTTCAAACTACTAAGAATATTAAACACAACGTAATGCAAAGCGCATCTAAAGAGAAAGCTACCCGAAGATATCTCAGTACTCCAAACTGAAGCTGAACTAACAACTCGCAGTAACAACAACAACTGAAAGCAGATGCCCTCTCTGGCCTTATATAGTTGTCACTCGTATTTCTAGTACTTTCTGCTTCTCGAAATTACTGAGATAAGAGGGTTGAAGTACGGTTACAGCTAACATAGTAGTCAATTACATTTATTTAATTACAATACCTGTTACGATGATGCAAGCACTGGGACAAAATGCCACCAAATGGTCATTAAGTTTGTCGGCTCCCGCATAGCTTGTCTCTCTCGATTTTTTATCTTATATTACTCAGAGAAATACAACAATTTCACATATAGTTGCACTAAAATCATTTATCTATGTACAATATTCGAAACAGTATATATATATGTATGTATATGTGATTAGTCGTAATGGCAGAGTGTCAAGACAGGAAGAAAAGGTTAATACCAGACCCAAGGTCAGTTAATTACCATCTTTATTTCTAGGCACATTAGAATAATTCTTCGTAGATAATACAATTTTTGATCATAAGTAATTACAATAATTCTTTATAACCCGTTAACCTGTGTATACAGGTTAACGGGGATGACATAATTTTAGACGGACAAGCAGAGCAACGGGGATATGTTAGCAGTCGCGAAGCTAGGAAAAGAATCACGTAATTTCTAGCTAGCGGTATTTATACCGAAGTAAATGCCACTGGAGACAAGCTGTGATTGGTTAATTTTAGGTTGTTGTGTAACTTGGAAGGATCTCGAATTTGGGAGAACAGATGAATTTAGTGAAAGAGCACCAAATTTAAAATAGTTAATTTTGAGGTCGCCAACTATTCTTAAAGCAGCCATCGTATTTTGTTATATCTCACAAACATATATATATATACATATATACTATATGTGTGTGTAATCATAAGAATGAAAGAGGAATACTCCTATTAAAATTCCAATATTTCAGTAAACTAAAAATTAAGAAAGCCAGCAAAGATAACTAAGAATTACAGTTTGAAGTCTACATAAATTCCGGTTTACAAAGTCGCAATAGGTAAGGGTAGATAGAAAAATTAAAATCAAAGGTAAAATAAAAATTGATATTATTTTAAACTAATAGAATATTAAACATATTTGAAGTAATATTATTTTAAAAGTACTCGAAAAAGTAAAAGGAAAAATGGCAGATGGAAAAAACTGCCCTACAAGCACTGGCTAATATTAAAGGAAATACATAAACCTGAGATGCAAGAATTGCAAATAATAATTATAATCATATAAATAAAATGACCTAAAAATGAACAATCAAAAAGACAGCGAAGCAATAGTGACTCTTCAGGGGGAATTAACTTAGTTCACACTCTTTCTAACTGTTCAGACGTCGTGTTTCCTCCTTGCTATGCATATGTAAATTAAAAATTAAAATTATGCGTAAATATTCAATTCCCCAAATTTAGCTAACTCATATACATTTCAAGAATTCCCCTACACTATGTAAATCAATTTAAAAATTATTTGGCATGTCGTATAAAATCAAAAAACATTATTTAAATGCAAAAATATCGTTAAAACAAAGGGCAGGTATTTATAAATATACTAGAAAGCCCGGCGGTCATAGGAAATGACCGCTGTTTTAGATATTATAAATTGTAATTAAACTGATTTGTGCAAAGGTGTCTGCTAATTCAAACTGAATTAATCTGAATTAGTTTATTTTTAACAAAAATGAATTTTTGTTAAAAATGCAAAGTGTAAATAATTGATCCCACTCTGGCAAGAGTACTAAATAACAAATATCCTTGTGAGTAGATTCCGTGGAATAAAGATATAATTACAGTTGTAAAGCATTTCAAAAACAGATGATTGCCAATGCAAACAAATGTTCACGTTCCCCCTGACACGCTCAATTTGCGTTCAGCTGAAAATTCAGTTTAAAATACAAAAACAGATTTAGTAATTTTAAAGGAAAATGCATTTATTAGCAGCATTGTATTTCATATCTAGTTTTGGCAACAATAAAAGAAAATTCTGACCTTGGATTTGAAAACCAAATCTATGAGAAACCATTGGCTAGTACAGTTACGCGAGCAACCAATAAACTATCGGCGACAAACACTTAAGCCGCATATATATAAGATATTATTATTAAAAGAAAGAAAAAGGCAAAGCTTAAATGTTGTATATAACTTAATATCTATGAAGGCCCTAATAATGCTTTCTCACTTAAAGTCGTAACCCAGAAGCAGAACAAGTAAAATTAAACTTCAAATACATACACAATACAGAAGATAATACAAAATATAATAATAAGCAAAAATTTTTATTAATCTCCTTCGTTTAACGCTTATATATATATATATAAACATAAAGCATCCAAAATCAAAACTGCATTGGAATCAAAACAAAGGAATTCTCTATTAATATTAAAAACTATTTTAATATTAATAGGGAATTGCCTTTTAATTTCAATTTTAGATGCTTTATGTTTAATTTACTTCAATCCTGCAGCTGTTAAATTTTTGGTTTTTGCCATATTACTTTGTTTTTCTTTGCATATATATTTATTTTAATCTAATAAAAGCATAAATTTTTGAGAACTAGTTTAGGTAATAAATGCCAATGCTTTACAAGTAGGTATTATATTTTTAGGTATATTTCTTATTTGGCTTTAGAAAAAAATATTCTGTTTGATTACACGTGATATTTCGAGTAATAACAGCAACGTTATTAGTTGAACAATTCTGCCAAACCTAATTGCAGTAGAATTTAAATAAATTAATTAATAGAAGTTTAAACTTGTTCAATAGGATGGCGTCATTAGAAATTAGGAAGAATGGAGGTATGAACTTATAGTTAGCGAAAGCACTTATCTTTATGAAATTCGAAAGTTAAATGTATGCAGTAGAACGAAATAATAACGGAATCCTTTTGAAGAGGAATTCGAGACGAAGTCCTTAATTGTTAACCATTTTTAAATGAAAGTATTTACTTTCAACCAGCTTTCTTCCATTATAAACCACTGTTTTTTCAATTTTAATTTAATTGGTTTCTTTATTTCTGAAGATATTTTATTGTAACTATGAGTGAAGGAAGTAATTACTAATTCCTTATTTATTTTTAGTCCAAAGGGATTTGAATCCCGAAGGATTATTAGTTTCGTTTTGGCATTTTGCTTCGGACTCATAAATGTCGGTTCACTTTTCGAAACTGTTGCCCCAAAATGTTAGTCCTGCATTATATTTGAAGAAATTAAATAATGAAAAATTTGCATAAATGTATGTATATTTCTCGTATTGTGATAAAACAACGGTACATAGAACAATCGAATTTTGAATGACGTAATCCTCCAACGAATATGAGCATGTGGAAGACCAAATTTCAAATTTGAAATTTGTTTTATGATCGATTTCCTATTTTTTAAAACTTTGACGAATTTTTGATTAACAAACTCAAGGATTTCAAAGCGAGCAATGGCAACGTTGTGCAGAAAAAACATTTTTATCTCCAGCGCGTGAGTCTCTGTATCGGAAATTCTAAAGATAGGCTCGTTTTAAAACTATTTTGCGATATTGCTGTTGCACTGGATCTTATGGTTTAAGTGCGAGGAACATGATATTTAATAAAGAAAGGTAACACACAAAATGTTAAAAAACGCCCCTTTGGACGTAATTTAAAATCTGAAACATTTCAGATTTTGTTTTTTTTTTTTTCTTGATTTTTTATAATATATATATATATATATAATTTTAAATAAAACGTTTCTATTTATTTCGAGAGACAAACCAATAGCCTTTCTTTTACAAGTGCAAATTATTTTTCTGAAGCTTATTGACTCACTTGCCTCGATTCAACAGTCATATTGCATCATCTATTGAAACAACAGAAGGAAACATTAGCTTCTTCCCAACAATAGCCATCCATTGCAGTTTTATTTCATAAAATTAACTTTATACATAATGGCCGTACCTATAGCAAGTAAACCGTACCCATAGCAAGTGGAGATACTGTAAGGCAATATTGTGTTCTGACTTATCTCAATTGTCTGACAGTAGCATCAGAACAAGGCCACGAAGTTCATCGTGGCAAGGAGAGCAAGATTGCTCCTGTCATTGGCTAGAGCCTTGCGCACTGCACAGGTGACAGTACGACTTCGCTCAGTTCCGCCGCAATTTCGATGGATAGTACCCCAAGGAGGACGGGTCCGAGGGTCTGCCACATTAACAATAATCGAGGGGGGGGAGGCCGACTGTAAGTTAAACGGCTTTTGCTGAATCCGGAAATCTATCAAAAGTTACGGTCATTTAAAGTCCAGTCGTTTAGTTTGGATGTTGCATTAGAGTTACTTAGTAGAGTTTTTTGCTGAAGTTCTAACAGGAAGTAGCTTAAAACTATTTAAATGTAAAAACAGTTTACAATTTTTAACATAAGGTTAAAAATATAAAGGAAAATTCCTAAATTCAAGGGTTTATTCGATATATCTGAAAAAAAAAAAAAAAAAAAGCATATACATATTAGTTATTCTGGATAGAAGTAGATGATCACGCAGTGTAATACCATTATATATATTCTTCTGATTTGTCTATAATTTTCTATCGCTTAAAATCTTCAGAATTTTAAGACCATTTTATAATTCTAACAAATATATTCAATAAATACATTCGCTTTATAAAATTAAAAGCACCTATAAAGCGACTTGGCAAGTTTTGAAGATTTCACCTCGAAATTCTTCAGCAACGAAGCAAAAATAAAAAATAATTTAAATTAGGATTAATTGAAGGAAGAGATTGACTTCACTTCATTTAAGAAAACATTAAGGTGAACCACTGTAGCGAATATAAAGTAATGTGTTAAAAATGACCGACAGTACAGAAAGAGATTAAAAGACAAACATTATTTCGCTTTTAAATTGCATAAGAAAGAAATAAGCATTTCCTAGAAATCCTCATTCATCTGCGAAGAAAAATTGTGGCAGTTTCGGCAGACGAATTTTTCTTCCTGTGCGTTATATTTGATCACAATACGAGTACCTGTACGTCATTACAAAATGAAAGAGAGCAAAAACAATAAAGCGCCCACGTGAGATCTAAGGCTCCTATGTTTGTTTTTCTTTCTCTTGTTTGATGTTCCGAACCAGTTATGAGGGTTTGATGACCCATAAAATAATGAGCGAAAGCGGAAATGGTTTGCGAATTTATCTTTGCAAGGGGAAGTTCATTTCTGTTCTGTGTAACTCATTAAAAAAAGATGCAGTTGGTAAACTGCAGAACCGTCAATCGACTGAAATATAAACTTTAAATGTAAAAATATTTAAACGTTAATTTTTCCTGTGAGACATATTGGAAAGTGAAATAAATAAATAAAGTATAAAGAGAATGACGTTACAATCGTGGATAGAATTTCTACGCATGTTTCTAACGTAGTTAGTAACGTAGTTAACAGTAGTTACGTTGTGTTGTGACTTACCTCACTCCAGTTTTGATTGGGGACGGGTCCGAGGGTTTCCTACCCGTCTTCCCTACCATCAACCTCTCGAGAGGACTTTCGGCTCGCCGAATATTTAGGGTGCCCCATGCCGCACAGACACTATACATTTACCGTCACCCACGATTCTCTCCGGATTCGAACCGAGGATTTCAGTTTCGCCCACAAAAAAAAAAAGCAAAAAAAAAAAAAAAAAAAAAAAAAACAAAAAAAAAAAAAAAAACAAACCAAAGCCCTTCAGTTTCGCTGTAGGCTTCTCTAACCACTGTACTATCTGAACGGCAGGCGATCTTTTAAAAGTCCAAAGATAAATCGAAACTGGCTTGCGAGATTTTACTTGCTTTGGGTTCGTTTTGTTCTTGGGTCACCAGATATTAATTACAAGGAAGTTACGAAATTTGATTTAATTAAATTTCCAACACATGCAAATACAACTTGAATTTAGTTCCATATGTATGCTTTGGCTCAATAAATGGAGCTAAATGTCAGCTGGGTTTGAGGCAACTGAACCAATATTAATTCTAAAATAATTAGTTCCTGATCAGTAATCAGACGCTACAAGAGAAAAACCGTTCAGTGAAATGCATTGAGAAAAATGAAACTTCTCATTGCATTTCTTGAAATGCATTGAGGAATTTTTATTTGAAATCTACTCTAAAAGACTTTTTAAAGTTTCTAATTATAAAAGATCAGAAAAGATTTATGTTTGAAATGAAATTCCTACACCTGTTAGAAGTTTTATCTGTTAAAAGACTTCCATCTGTATAAAGAAATAGAATTTCCTGACATCTAAATGAAACTTTTTCCCCCAGATCGACATGTTGCTGAGATAAAACCAAAGCCTCTAGTTAAAATTATACCAGAAAAAAAGGAAGCAGAAGATTCCGTTGCCACAACTTCAGAAAAGAAGAAAACAATATCAACTGCAAATAAACCGAGGCCTTCTATATCAGTGGCAACTTCCACATCAAAGGATGCTTCTACACCAAAGACAGCTTCCATATTAAAGAGAGCTTCAACATCAAAGACAGCTTCTACACCAAACAAAACTTTCGCATCGAAGAGAGCTTCTATGTCAAAGACAGTTTCTACACCAAAGAGAGCATCTACACCAAACACAGATTTCACATCAAAGAGAGCTTCTATATCAAAGACAGTTTCTACACCAAAGAGACCTTCTTCACCAAAGACAGCTTCCACATCAAATAGACCTTCTATATCAAAGACAACTTCTATACGAAGAAGATCTTCTTCACCAAAGACAGCTTCTACACAAAGAAGATCTTCGTCACCAAGGACAGCTTCTACACGAAGATCTTCACCAAAGACAGCTTCTACACGAAGAAGATCTTCTTCACCAAAGACAGCTTCCATATCAAATAGAGCTTCTATATCAAAGACAGCTTCTACACAAAAGGCAGCTTCAACATCAAAGCCAGCTTCTACAAGTGTAAAATTTCGTCAGACACTGGATAAAAAATCGCTTGTCAAATATCATGAACCCCAGCCATCATCATTCGCTAAGAAGAAGCCACCTGACAAGAAATCGAAGAAAGACCAAAAATGAAGCTTAATAATTCCTTATTCGCACTTCATGGTCATTATAAAATGAACAGCAATTCCAGTTCCTTCCTGCAATTCACAATTTTACTTTTAACAGAATTTTCGGAAACTTTTCTCTAAATTCTTGGCGTCCTTTGTAAATCTGAGACTTCATTGCAGAATAAAAATGCTTGTTTATCTATTGTGTGGTTATTTATTTAGCTTGAATTATAACTATTGCTTCATAATAAATTACGTCTTTTATAAAAAGCAGTATATCATATTTTACTTTTGAATTTTAGCCCTGTTTTGTATTTGAAATCGTGTGAGTTCTATTGGATTCATGTGCGAATATATCACCTTTCATTTGATTAAACAACTGTGCTCTTATCTCGTGCTTGGGGAGTATTTCTTTTGGATGTTTTAGATGTGATTTCGGCGCTAATAACCTGCAAGGTTTTGCGCCAGATAATCCACTACCGCTGTTGTAAAAAGCAACTCATTTTTTTTCCAGTTTGTTTGTTGGTGGGGAGCAGCTCTCTCACGTGACCGCAGATGGTCCTATGGCTTATTTAGGCTGTCCCAGTGCAGGTAGAAACACAGTACACACATACTAATGTAGAGTTCCTATGACTGATAGATTATTAACTTTTTTTTTTCTTTTTTTTACAGTATGAATATTTGAAAGTATAAGTGTTAAAAACGAGAGGTGGAACGAACCCTAAAGGAATTTAGAGTATTTGTAGGTTATAAATTATATAACCCTTCATATAAGAGTAATAAGAAACAAAAAGAATCAGTTATTATTAAAAAATTTTAAATAAAGCAAAATTTAGAAATAAACAAAAATTTAAAACAAAATTAGAAGCATACTTACATTTTTTAAGGTGGTTTGGATTGGTTTGGTTTATTTGATTAAGGTTTGATTTATTTTATTATTGCACACAAGGGCTAGCTGTCTAAAGGGAGCGATTTCTTCATGGAGAACAAAGGGACGAATCTCGGCAAGGATATAATTTATTAAGTACATGTATCAGCTTCTTTTGCTTTTGCCACTACAGAAAACTGTGTCTTGTACACTTGCTAGGAAGTCTTTCGATATACGTGAATAGCTTTAGAGAAGGTCAGAACGACATGTGTTCGAATTTAAAGACGTTAGAATTGTGACCAGCCTATGGATTTCTTTAAACTTTCAGTTTCCTTGGCGACAGTAGCAGAAACTCTGTCATCAGTTTGTTGCTTGATAGTAGAAGCACTTTCTTTGATTAGTTGCAGAAACTCTTTCTTTGTATTGTTGCTCGACAGCAGAAATCCCTTCTTGAATTTCTCCAACTTTATCTTCAACTGTGTCTGTCCTGCCTTCCATAGCCATGAAATTGTTTTCTGTTGTGGCAGTAATTTCTGTTTTTATATCCTCTTGGCCTGCTTCAATCTCTTTTTGAATTGACTTGAAGAACCCTCTTCTATCATTCCTTAGCCGACCTCCATTTTTTTCTTGAACCGATTTGATGGCTCCTTCCATCTTTTCTTGGTAAACTTTCATCTCTTCTTGTCCCACTTCAGTCTTTTCTTGAACTGTTTTCATCTCTTTCTTAAGCGAGTTGGCGGGCTCTTCAATCTTTTGTTGGAATGCAGCAAAGTCTATCACCAGCTGTCTTAGTTGAATCGTCACCGGCATTCAGCCCCACTCCCGACACCAAAATTTGTTGCGTGCATACAAGTTCGTAAGACGGAATGCACACAGAATCGATGATAGCTTGATAAAATTTATTTTTACCCAAAGAAACCCTTTACAGTCCTGAAACTTTCCAGAAAAGCATTCGTACAGCTTTTCTCAGTGTCTCATCACAGTCAGTAGTTATACTCTAAACGTAAGAAATTAAGAACGTTAAACACAACGCAATGCAAAGCGCATCTAAAAACTGAAGCTCTCACGGATATCTCAATACTCCGAAGCAGAGCTTAAATTGCACCGGAGCCCACCGGAGCCCGGCTCCGGTACTTCTTAGTGTTTGGGATATATTCTAATTCTAGCCGGAGCGCACCGGAGCCTGAATAAGAAGGCTCCGGCACTTTTTTATGTAACGAAACAATAATTTTAGTAGAAGTTTGATCTAGAAAATTTCATTTTTAGCAATAAAATTACCGTATTTGATGGCATATAAGACGCACTTTTTTTCCTAAATTTGGTCTCAAAAAAGTTACCTGCGTTTATACGTGAAGGACACAGTCTTATACGTGAAGGTAATTGCATTCAATAATTGTTTATTTGGCTTTTACGAAACGTGAGAACTAAAAGAAACCACGCTATTGAAACTTTTTTTCCTTGCTAATTGTGGCCGTCTAAATAAGGGTGCGTTTTATATGCCGTCAAATACGGTATATAAAAAATCGCTTATTAAATTTTAATTTATCTCTTTACATTTTATTTAATTTTAATTATTAAATTACTTTAATCTTTAATTATTTTAATAAATAATAATAAATTGTGAATTAATTAAAAACAATAATTACATGTTAAATAATAATTTACCAAATATTAATTATTAATACAAATTAAATAATTATTAATTTGATACTCCTTAACTATTTAATTTTTAAAGTATTAATGATTTTAATAGTCATTTTGTTTATTGATTTACTCTTGTTCCTCTTTCGTGATGGTCTTTCATAGGGCTCCGGCACTTCTACTTTTAGAAATTAAGCCCTGCTCCGAAGTCGCTCTGAGATAAGAACTGAGAAACTAGTTTCTCTTACTTTGAACTTCTCGAAATTACTGTAAGGCATATGAGGACCAGATACGTTACAGTTACATATATTGGGATCAGCTACATTTATTCAATCGTCGCCAGCTTGGTGATATATCCATTTACTTAATGTTTGATAGCCTTGCCCCTGTAATGTTATTTTTTCAGCAGAGCTTCGTCTCTTTCAAACATTTCATGTTATGTTATACAAAAAATACGACAATTTCATATATAATTTCACAAAAATTTTTTACATATGTACAAAATTCGTAACAATATCTAACTTTTAAAAATGTTATTTTTTATAATTCTAATTTTTTTTTTTTTATAAGGAAAACACAAATGAATGCTACGGAATGTTGCTTGCCCGAAGCAAATCAGACTAGTCATTCCGGACAAAGGCAGAAAAATATTTTCAGAAACCAAATGTAAAAATAAATGAGTAGACACTATTAAGGAAAAGTATGAATTAAAATAAATTACTTACATAACTTATATTACAGTGCATTTTATGTTCATTCTTTAAAACAGTGACTAATCTTTTTGGGGAATTTTGCTTGCAATGCTTGTATGCATTTTACTCGCGACTATTTGATAAGACTTGTTGTTGCTGTACCCATGTAAAACATATCTTAGGCAGGACTTCAAAATTCACTGTTGAGTAAATTACGCTGTTATTACTTATTTTTAATATGAAGTGCGCATTTGCTTGTAAAAAATGACAGAAATATTTTAACTTGAAAATTGTTTGAAAGTGACTAATTTCGAGATTAACTGATTGAACATCATTTTCTTGCTACCAGCTTTGTTAAACTGGGTTTCGGCTAAACAAGGTTATACTGCACGCTTGGTAATTTAATTGATAATGAGCTGCTGTTTCAAAATTTATTTTAAAACAAAGCAATGAAATAGTAGTTCACTTCTACACCAAACCTATCTATTGTAACAACCCTGATACGTGCTAAGAGAAATTAACATATCACAGGTCAACACTCTCAGTTGACTCAAGTCTTAATATCTACTTTTGTCACCAGATGGAGCAAACGAAATTGAGAAATTTGGCCACAGCGATGAATTAGCCTCCCATGTCAATTTGTTAATATACCACTCGCTATTCTGGCCAATTTCTGGCTTTTCTGGCCAAAGTTGCAATGATCTTCTTTTGAAATGGATGATTCCATGAGTCTGTTTCTTTTCCTCAAGAGCGAGGCATATGAGATTTTAGCCAGCTAAGCAACAGCACCTCTTACACAACAATAAACCATCTACAAGTCGGTATTGGTCAGGAAAATGTGATCCATCACTGTTACACAAACGAAGAGAAAAGCCTAAAAGTTACAAATAATAAATCACTATCTAGCCCATAAATGCTACCATATTTTCTCCTTCAAATACGTTACACTGTATAAGATCAGCTCTGTGTCTAATAACTCTGTTTCTTTATTCATAATCCTATGAAACCTGTAAATAGCCAGGGATATAAAATCGATGGCAATGTTACCACTTATGCCACTTTCCCGTGTCTTCTGTAGTTAATGACCTAATGGTTTATGCACTTTCCTTGGCGACAGCAAAGCAGAAACGCTGTTGTCATCAATTTGTTGCTCGACAGTAGAAACACTTCTTCGATATGTTGTTGGATAGCAAAAGGTCTTTCTTCGATTTGTTGTTCCACAGCAGAAACCCTATCTTGAATTTCTCCAACATTATCGATAACCGCGTCTGTTCTGCCTTCCATAGCCATGAATTTGTTTTCTACTACGGCAGTAATTTCTCTTTTTATATCCTCTTGACCTACTACAATCTTTTCTTGAATTGACTTGACGGCCGCAGCCATCTTTTCTTAAAGCCGAGCTCCATTTTATTCTTGAACCGATTTGACGACTTCTTCTATCTTTTCTTGGTAAACTTTCATCTCTTCTCGACCTACTTCAATCTTTTCTTGAACTATTTTTATCTCTTTCTTAACTCTTAGAGGACCACCAGCGGCCGAGCGGTAAATTCGCTGAAGACTGGTAGCTACCATATTTTCTCCTTCAAGACCGAGGTTCGAATCCCGCGAACGGGCTGGCTGCATGGGCGTTTTCGTGGTTTTCCTCATATGTAACGTGTATACGAGCCAGTTTCCCTTAGAAAGTCCTCCCAGAAGTCATTTCTTCCCTTAGGCAGATAGCCCTCGAGGCTTTGCCATAATCACACACACACACCTTAACCCTTACAGGTGTAAAAAAATCACAAATGCAGAAAAAGTACAAATAATAAATCATTATCTAGGTCAGGGTTTCTTAAACTGTGCGTCGCGACCTCCGAAGGGCTAGCGGGACCTGCAGCAGGGGTCGCAAAAAATTTTAGCAGTTTTGATATTTCATTAACTTTTTATAATAATTTAACAACTGCTAAATGTTTTTACACAATATATCTGAAAATAGATAAATATAAGACAATACAGACCAAAGATTAGAAAAAACAAAAAGGTTTCGACGCATTCTTTTTATAATATAAAAGTTCATTTTACTTTGCTCTGCACGTGATTCTGTCGTTTCGTCTGTAACTTATTTAAAATTTTCGCATTCTTCTATGTCTTATAATTAGAAATTAAAGTTAATGACGCAAAACTGCAATAATATATTACAGTACAAGTGAAAAAATTGACAGTTTCACTCACGCATGTGTCAGATTGGCGCAATGCTTATGGGGTCCTGGTGATTGCGAAAAAATCTCAGTAATAAAAAGGGGTCGCGACTGAAAAAAAGCTTGAGAAACCCTGATCTAGCTCATAAAAGCATCCTATTTTCTTCTTCAACTACGATACACCTTTACCATGTAAGATGAGTACTGTGTTTGAAAAGCCTGTTTTTTTATTCAAAATCCTATGAAAGGTATAAATAGTCATGGGCATAAAATGAACAGTATTTTAACAGTTACTTCACTTTTGTATGTCTTCTGTAGTTATGATCGGTATTTCTTCTGAGGAATAAAGAAAGCTTTATGGTTTATTAACTTTTTCAAGCTCTCCATGAACTCTGCCGAATGTGTATCACTGGATACTTTTATTAAAAGAGAAATCATTTTAACAAAAGAGCTTTTATGTATCAAAAAGAACAAATTTTCAACTTACGCGTGCTTGCCGAATAACTTCGTGGCCATGTAGATGAAAATCCTGTTGAGGTCGTTGCGTTGCGAAACTTCGGTATAAGGAAACAAATGACTGAAAAAGAATAAATTAGCTGTACTCGATACAAATTAAGTGCTCGAGTTTTCAGTAGCAAATGCTGCAAATACTTATAAAATTACGGACGGTTAGAATGGATCATTGAGATTGCGGAAAAGCACACGCGGGCTCCTTGCCTGAGGGGAGGGATGCCTTCATAGAGGACTTTCTAAGGGAAACTGGCTTCTATACACGTTACAGATGGGGAAAACCACAAAAACGCCCATGCAGCCAGCCCATTCGAGTAGAATCGATCCTAGGTCGGAATTACCAGTGCTCAGTGACCTTTGCCGTTCAGCTGCTGGTGAACATATGGACGGTTAGGCATGCCATTACAAATTAAATCAATTTAAGGTACTGTCAAAGAATAAAATACAGATATAAATTGTTGAGAAGCACGGATATTGCTTTTAAATCACTCAGTTTATCAAACAATGTACAAACTAATTTGAAAGACAAATTAACCCCAAAATACTTAAAGCTGGGTAAAATTTAGGATAATACTTTCGTTAATTTTAAGAGGGAGTAGATTTAATCCTATGAACTTAAATATCGAAAAATGTATATACTAAGAGAATTTAATATTAATAAAAGAACATTACTCATTTATTATGTAAGGAATTTTGAACATATTATTGAATATTTTACTCTTCCTACGTCACTCGGTCACAATCATGGACCTTATAAGAAATAGACTAACCCAAGCGGGTTTTCTCCCTCGTCTGAGGCGTTGCCAGCTGTCACCTTGATCACATCCGGAGGAGTAGGGACGACTTGCAGAAATTTAACATTGGTTGCCTATTGTAGCGTGTATAATTGTCAAGAAAAAGCTGTCTGTAGCGCCTCATTTCACAAATTAAAATTTATACATATATTTAATTTTGAAATTGAGATTGATTTTTAAAAATTTAGCGTATTTATCAAGCATAATTAACGTTCCAAATAATTATAAAGCTATTGCATGCTTTCAGGACTGGATTTTTTTAAAGTTTTTCCTGTGCTGTAAGGAAATTTATAACTACTTCTTTTAGAAAATAATATTTTCAATCTGAACTAATAGAAAATTTCAAACAAGCAATTTTCTCTTACAATTTTTATGCTTTTTATTGGTGTAAATAAGTAACAAATACTAAAATACTTAAAAACGAATTTTTGAAAGTTTTGTTTAAAATTCTCAATTGTGCTGCTTTTTTTAAATTATAGATGAGTATTATAGCACAACTTCTATAAAGGAATTTTATTTCAATTATATTTCATAATACATCATAGTGATAAACACTTTTGACTCCTTAAAAATTTTTATACATTTAATTCTAATATTAAAATATTATTTAACCGTAATAATTAAATTTGCTTGCATTTTATAGTGATTATTTTTAAAAATTTACTTTTAGTTCAGCGTAAGATTTTTTTTTTTTTTATTTACTGTTAATTTAATTTATTAGCCCAAAGGAGCGGTAGCCTAGAAAGGCTGTTAGTTTCGAAGCGGCATTTTGCGCTGTTTTACTATAAATGTCCGTATCTCCTTGCAAATTGTTGTTACCAAATATTATCACCCTGCATTATATGTAAAGAAATTAAATAATGAAGAATCTGCATGACTACATGTATGTTTCTCGCAAAGTGGCAAAAACGACGGTATCTAGAGCCATCAAATTTTGAATAATGTAATCCTCCACACGAACATGGACATTTGGACGGCCGAATTTCGAATTTGTTTTAATCTTTTTCATATTTCGTAAAACTTTAAGGAACTTTTGATTAAAAAACTCAACAAGTTCAGAGCGAGCACTGTACAGAAAATAACAGTTTTATCTCCAGTGCGGAAATTCTAAAGATATGCTGTTTTCAAATATATGTGGTTTACGGGCGAAGAACATGATATTCAATAAATATAGGTAACACACAAAATTTTAAAAAAAAGTTCCTTTATATCCTTCGCGTAATATAAAATCTGAGTGCTTCTAGATTTTATTTTATCTTTTTTTTTTTTTTTTTTTTTCCTTCATTACGCTCAGAAAATTTTATGCTCCGACTTTTATGAATTATTAAAATAACTACTCCACTTTAATGTTAATAACTTAATGGTCATATAATCAAATAAATATGATCGTTTTGTAATGCTATTATAGGTTGGAAAATCACTGCGTGAAAATGTTCATTAAATGTTAAAAAAAAATTATCAGATTTTGTTTAATTTTACCTAATTTATTTCAAAGCATCGCGTAATATCAATCTTATTTAATTTTACTTTATTTTTACGAAAAATTAAGTTCATAAAGTTTTTGCTTAGAGTTTTTACCGTTTTACCAAAGTAAAGACGTTTGTACAAGAATTACGCGTGAAAAAAATGCGCTAAATGCAGTAAAAAGTGGTTTAATGAGATATATTAAATCCTATTTGGAAAAAACTGTGGCTTTCATAATCTCATCACTATATAACGTATCACATTTAATAATTAAAAAGAGTTATATGATACAAACGCCATAGGTTTCCGTGTTAAAGTAAACCAGATCGTCCCTACTCTTCCTTGCCGAAGAGTCGGTGACGCGCGCCCCGCCCACTGGGTTAGTCTATCTCTTATAAGGTCCATGGTCACAATTTAGAAAGCTTGTGGCTGGGTATTACGTGCAAATCATTTTTGAACAATGGATATGAAAAGTTGTCTAAATTCTTTATTTTCTCCAAAGTTAAAAGCAGAATAGTTTTCGCATATGTGTAATTTAATAGAAGAAAATTGTGTTTCTTTTCTCAATGTATTCCCTACGTTGTCCCATTCTGGAAAATTTTCTTATTTACTGTTATCTTCATTATCCATTCATGTATTTAGGACAAAGATAAATGGGCTGGTAGCGGTGCAAGTAGAATGTCATATTATTACCCATATCTTAAATCGTAATTTCAGAATTAAACATGACAGAATAGTCAAAAACAAGTTTCGTAAATTATTACTCAAAAGAAAAATACAGCTTTTATTTAAAATTTCAGACAAAAGATATATAGTTTCCTTTAAATTTTCACTTAATATTTGACACGAAAGACGGAAAAATTGCATGGTGTATTTAATTACGGCAAAGCACATTAGGGCTATTTGCCTAAAGGGAGGGATGCCTTCGTGGAGGACTTTCTAAGGGAAACTGGCTCGTATACACGTTACACATGGGGAAAAACCACGAAAACGCCCATGCAACCAGCCCGTTCGCCTGATTCGAACCTCGGACCGAACTACTAGTGTTCAGCGACTTTACCGCTCGGCCGTTGGTGGGCTCAAAAAATTGCATGTATATTTACGTTATTATAATATATGTACATACATACAAACATATGTATAAATGTATATGTTATATATATATAACTAGAAAGCCCGGCCGTCATACGAAATGACCGCTGTTCTAGATATTATAAATTGTAATTAAAATGATTTGTGCAAATGTGTCTGCTAATTTAAACTGAATTACCCAGGGCAGGCGGCGAAGACGACCTTTTGCTTACTGCCCCACGGGGTTTCCCCCTTTTACTTTCTTAGTTGCTTAAAGTAGAGTGCAATGAAGGAAACCACTGGCTATACATTTCTTAAGAGCCACCGCCAGCTCAATAAATAAAGGTGATTTAAATAATAAAATGTTAATTCACATGTCAAAGATCTCTTTGTACACACATTTCTGGTGTAGATCTTTTCATCATTTTTAAGTTCGCCTTGCAGAGGACCATCCATTATTTTTTTAATTTTACGTTCGTTCTTTCACGAACTTTTGAACAGGCAACATAAAGTTGGCCGTGTCCAAATGCAGGCTCAGGTAAAAAAATGCCAACACGCTTAAGCGTTTGACCCTGAGACTTATAGATGGTAAGTTTTACAGGAAATTGTCTAATTGGCAAAGGCAAGTTTTACAGGAAATTGTCTAATTGAAACGGCAACTCTGTGCCGTGGCAACTTCACCCCATTGGGTAGTACAGTTACGCAAGTAACCAATAAACTATCGGCGACAAACAGACACTTAAGCCGCATATATATATGGGGTGAAGTAACATCATCTCCTCCGAAACGGCTGGCTTCCAGGCTTAGCGAAGCACGCCGTTGGATTCCGCAGGTCCGCATTTTGACCATTCGCGTCTTCTTGGGACTTTAATTAACCGAGATATTAATTAAAAACTAATTTTCCCCTACGTTTTCTCTACATTTTCCACTTTCTTTCTTGGGTTTTTCCTATTAGAGGGATTTGGTTGCGTGCCAAATTGTTTTTTCTCAAATATCTACGGAACGGCGCCGAGTTGAAATTCGAGACCGTGTATCCTCGGATTCCAAAAAATTCTCCGAATCCATCGATACCGTTCTCATCTTCGTATGACTTTAATCGGCCGAGATATTAATTAAAAACTGAAGTAACGTTAATTTGCCCGCAAATTTTTCCGAGTGGCAACAGTAAAGTATCGGCTACACACACTTTAGCCGCTTATATATATAAAAAGATTATCACAACACAATAATGATCCCAAAACTTGGGAAGCAACCCCCGCGTTAGGCGCGTATTATTGTGTTGCACAATTAGGCGCGTATGTTGCACAATTAGGCGCGTATGATTGTTTTGCACAATTAGGCGCGTATGTTGCACAATTAGGCGCGTATGATTGCGTTGCACAATTAGGCGCGTATGATTGTGTTGCACAATTAGGCGCGTGGGTGATAGTTTTCATCCACTCATTAGAATGTACCTAGAGTAAGGAAAATCAATTTTAAAACTTGTTTCTTTCATTTATTTCACAAAATGTCAATTACAGGTTATGCTTTTGATTGTGCACAGCGTTCAACTGAATATAACGGACTTTTATTTTCATTCTGCATTCGTATCTTCATCAGCAACATTCCTTCAACATTCGATTCTTAGAACAATGTTTCTATCTTTTGTCGTCTCCGTCTTCCAGTGTTCTGGCATTTTACTTTAATTACTTGTTACTTATACAGGCGCGCAGTTGATATCTGTTATCCAGGCGCTTCG